CGTATGTCAAATTTAAATTTATAAATAACGTATGTCGCTTTCGAAGCGACATAAATTGAGAAATGACGAAGAACATACTCACTTGCTGAATGAAACGATTAATACGAATGAAATAATTTGAAGTATTATGTAATGGTAAATAAGTATTTATGCTCATGATTGTGAATTTATATTGTTGATTATAATTTTAATGGTTAATAAATGATCCTTATACTCACAAGCTACGTAAATTAATACAAATGATTAGTGTATTAATAAATTTAAATAGCTGATATATAAATTAATCGATGCTTACTCTCTGATAATTGAATAATTAAAATTTTATAAGATATTCCAATTTACAAAATAGAAAATTACAAAATATTATGATAAAAAATTAAGAATTTGCTTACTTTTTCATCCATTCCTTAAATTTATCATGATTTTCTTCCACACCAATTCCGTAATAGTAACAAATAGCAGTCATATAGATTCCGTTAGGATTATTCATTTCTGCAGATTTTTGGCAATATAATATAACCATCAGGAGTTCCAGGAGCAAATTTTGGTCGTAATCCGTTGCAAATTTCGACTGCAAGATCTGTATTAAATTTATAGCAATCGAAAGGTCTTTGGCCAGTTGCTATTTCAGCCATAATTATGCCAAAACCATAAATATCTGCACTTTTAGTAAACTGTTGCTTTCCTGATAAAACTTCTGGAGCAACATAAGGCATAACGCCAAAGATAACGCCTTTTGCACTATTTTCATCTATTTTTTTAGATAATCCTAAATCTGAAACATAAGAAATTCCTTTATCGTGAAGAATGTTACCACTATGAAAGTCAGCATGGATATACCCAGCATTATGAATTTGGAGTAGGTCTTTAGCTATATCTCTTAGTTGTTTTAATTTAAATTCCCATGTAAGTCTGTTGAAATTTGATTGTAAGAATTTGCAAATATTTCCATCATCAGCATACTGAAATACCATGAGGTATTCATTGTCTTGTGAGTTATAAGTCAAACCATATATCTGAAGTTTACTGCCATATAATTTACATTTCATATGATTTTTTAACTTAGAGGTTATATAAAATCATTAGCTCAATAATTTATCGCAAAGCTATCGAAAATAATACAATAATATACTTTTACCTACCTCGCTTAAAAAATCAACAGAATTTTGATTTATCTTTGTTATTGAATCAGACAAGACCTTGAGTGCAACGATGCCATTTGCTTCACGTGATCTCCTATAGGAATAGTTGTTGTCACCGTTACTATTGTTACTATCATCTTTGTCGTTATTATCTTTTTTTTTAATTTTTTCAATTTTTCGTATGCCGTCCAACCATGTTGCTTTATATATGGATCCAAATCCTCCTTCGCCAATTTTTATAATATTATCTAGTCTATCATATGGAATCCACTCAATCATATCCTCATATGCAAAGGTTCTAAGTTGAAATGCATTCATGAAATCATCAATATCTTTATTTCTACTTGTCCACCGTGTTGATGCGACAGGGTCACATAAAATACACCATGCCTCATACGTGTTGTCTTCATTACAATGTACACATTTTCCATATTTAGGTTTTCTTTATAGGTAATCATAAAAATCTGATATTTTATTTCATATATGCCGTATGATTTTAAGCTTTATATTGAATAGAAAAAAGTTTTTATTCTCACCGACTAAATTAATGCGGATGATATGATTTGAAGAGTATGTAAATAAACATTTAGGTTTGATTTGCAGACATTTTGCAGAACTATCTTTATACTCACTCACTGAACAAATAATTAATGCGAATGAATAGTTTTACGTAATGGTAAATAAATATCTATGTTCTTTTATGAACTTAGACATCAGTTTTTATACTAATGACTAACAAATGATCTTTATACTTACTAACTAAATGCGGATAAATGATTTGAAGATATAATGATAATAAAAATAAGTATTTATCTGTCATAACCTTGGCTTGTAAATTTTTTTGTTGATTTTAATTTCATCGGTTATTGATACTCACAGACTAAATTAATTCAATGAAATTTGGATATTATGCAATGGTATATGAGTATTTATATCCTTGGTTTAGTTGCTTGTTTGCTGAATTAATCCCATAATAATAAATATTCTTATACTCATTGACTAAATTAATGCGAACGAAATGATTTGTAGGTTAATAGTAAATAAATAGTTATAATTTTGATTTATGGTATTGTTTAGCTATTTTAATTTCAGAATTAATAAATAATCTTTATACTCACGATCTGAATATAATAATTAATACGAATGAAATTATTAGAAAGGTAATATGTGTTAAATAAGTATTTATGCATTTATGAAATTGGTTTACTACTGAATTTTTAATAAATGATCATTATACTCGCAGACTGATGCGAATGAAATGATTGAAGGGAATTACATAACAATAAATAAGTATTAGATCCTTAATTTGTGAACTTGTTTTACTTTTTCCATTTATTAATAAATGATCTTTATACTCACTCGCTGAGTAAAATTAGTAATGGAAGGGATTATGTAATGATAAATAAGTATTTATATTTAATTTGTAAAGTTGTATTACTTGTAATTTTGGCGATTAAATAAATAAATCTCACACTCACTCGCTGAGTGGAATTGAAATGATTTGAAAGGTATTACATAATATTTTCTTGAATTGTCTGCTGACTTAATTCCAATAATCAATAATGTTCTTTATCCCTTAATCCGTATGTAAATTCGGGGCAAATTTTCCCGAATTTTATAAGATCATTTAATTATAATTAATATATTATAAATCGATTCCAAAATCAATAAAAAAACAATAAAATATTTAATTAATAAATTTATTCATTTTTTACTATGAAAATCTGTAAAACAATTAGGCCACATTTTAGAGCAACATAGAGGTACATTACATCTAATGCACCAAAATTGAGTTTGGGAAATTGCACAATTTTTTTTTCTTACCTTAATCATTATTTTTTTATTAAATAACAACAATATAGACATGATTCTCTTTTTTTTCGCCATTCTACTAGATGATTTTCTGGAGAAAGTCGACTTAAAGGTAGATTAAAATTTTTAGTAACATATGCAATTCTCTTATTTTTTAGTGATGATTTTAATGAAGCTTTTTTTTGTTTTAATTGACCCTGAGTTATTCTATTGCTACCACTTTCATTATCTATAGCTTCTTGAATTAAATCCCATACAAGCATAATTCAAAAATCTTTACTTGCAATCTTTGTATTTGTAATTTTGTGATAAAGAATAATACTATTAACAAGAACAGTGTCTAATAACCAAAAAAATAAAGGGAACCAAGTATGACATGCTGTTAATTGACAATTATAGTAACCTCGAAGCTGATCTGCAAGATCAACACCTCCCATATAATTATTATAATCATTAATTATTTGTGGAATAGGCAATGCTTTTCTTGACATATTACCAAATATCTGATGAACCTTATTTGCATTAGTACTTGTTTTATGGAGATGCCATCAATTTTAAATAACCTTCCACTCATCACCCATAATTCCATGAATAGTTGTAAGCATTGTTATGGGCCCATTATCAATCCATAATACTGCTAGGACATTATCTGTAACTATTTCACTTAGTGTATTCCAATCTAATAAATGAGTATTATTGATTTTTAACTCTCTGGAAAATTTAGATGAATTAGTTCAAACTGTTCCACATGCACCTAGATTATTTTTGCACAAATATTTAAAGAGAGAAACACTTGAAAAATAATTATCCATGTATATATGAAATGTTTTTTCCTGAGAAAGTTGATTTGCTAAATGCTATACTATACATCTAGCTTTATTAATATTAGTAATTAACTCTAACTCCTTATTTTTCTCAACTCGAGAACTAAATATAAATATGTATGTATAACCAGCATCACATAGAGAATATATTTTGTAACCCTCAGGTATTGGCTTGTTTTTCATTTTTACAGTGTGTATATTTTAACCAGAAAAATGATCCATCATTTCGTTCACAAAACTTGTAAACTAGGTACATATAACTTTTTAAATGTATCTCGAAAATGTGAAGCTAGTGGCTCTATTTTAGAGTACCAATTTAAATTAGGGCTATGTGGATTAGAAATATGAAGAAATCATTTTATTTGTTCAAAATGATAAGTTGACATAAATTGTTTAATACTATGTATAACCTTTTGTTCATTTGAATTCCACAAATTATCTATATAATAAATTTTGTAAACACCCATCTAAATAACTATTGCAATCCAGATTTTTAACTCTTTTAAAATTAATAAATGCCAAATACTACCACCTTTTTTTAGCCTATTAACTCAATTTAATTTTTTATAACTATTAGTATTATTAACAATTAATTGAAAATAATGATCAGTAAAAAATAAATAAAACAATGTAAGTGGAGTAATAGTGCCTTGCTGCATTTCATGTGGCAATGTAGTATAACTTCTATGAAGCTCATTAACATTTTTGATTGGATCAAATTCTGGTAATTCTGAAAGCATTAATGTTTTATTTAATCTAATGTTCTTTCCTTTATTCGTTTCTTCACTCTTTTTTTTTTTTTCCTTCCTACCCTACTTTTGTCACTTCGCTTGTAAGTACTTTTTGCACTTTCTTCATATTCAGAATCCGTGGCATAATCTGTGATATAATCTTGTACTTCTGGCATAAATAGATCTTCATAATCTATTGTGTAGTTAATTCTTGTCTCTCCATGATTATTATACTTAAAGGTCAAATATTGCAAGTCAGAGGAAGAATCATCATCAGTAGCATCATACTCATCGTTAGAAGTGTCATTATCAGTATTACTATCATTATCAGTCATAGTGTAAGATGTTCTTTTTTTTTTTAAAAAAAAAAATGTGGAAAATTAATTGTCGATCTTTTATATTCAAAGAACTTCTTCAGAAGTTTGTTGAACCTTATTGTTTTTGTTTGCTGCAAAGATAAATCAATACAGGTGTTGCAATTGCCTGTGTGTGCATTCTGCCACAAAAATGGGGGGTACTTTTAGTAACTTTTAATGGTAGTGTAAAAAATTTGCCAGGAATCAGAAATTCGGGGCAAATTTGCCCCAAATACGGATTAAGGGATACTTACTACCTAGATTAATGCGAATGTGATGATTTGGAGAGTATACATAATAAGTGTTTATATTCTTTCTTTTGAATTTGTTTTGCTAATGTTAATTCTAATGACAATAAATGAATTTACACTCACGTGCTATATTAAATGATTAATTCGAATAAAAATTTGAAAGGTATCACATAATGATAAATAAGTATTTATGATCACGATCTGTGATTAATAAAGATAAATGAACTTAATACTAACTTACTAAATCAATACAATTTCATAATGGTAAATAAGCATAAACTTCAATGTTCAATATATGGTCTTTATTTTTTTTTTTTTTTTATATTAAAGATGAAACCTTGCTTTTATCTTTATTAGATTTAACAAAAACTTTTTACATGTCTGGAAAATGTTTTATTACTTAAATCTAAGACTAAGAAAAAGAACTCAGACATATATCTAAGTAAACCTAAATACTTATCTGTGGCCTAAACCTATTAACGTATACTTTATAAAACTAGTAATCAACAAAATAGCTATATAATTCTTTACAACAGAATTATATAGAAAATACCAAGCAAAAGCAGCATTATTTAATTGTTACTTTTGTAGTAACTTTGATAGAGGAAAAAGAATTCCACAATATGAATAGGAATGTCACTATGATATCAGTGCTACTGTAGTAAATGATGCTGATACAGTAATATTAAATCCTATTGGATTTTCAAAAAAACTAAATAACAAATTTACAAAAACAAATATTAGAAACAACAAAATAACAGGACAGAACATCCTTGACTTTTATGATGATACTGCAGATATAAAGTTAACACAAGTATCATTTAGACTATGGATGGATACACAAAATATTACCTCAGAATTTATATTAGAAGTACAACAAGCATTTAGAAAATTAAGATTTAACTCACAATATGCAATAAATACACATGAAAATGAAGAATTTGTAAACGAATTCAATAGGCAAATAGAAATATCAAATTATAAGCAAAATTTTGCAACAGGTTTAAAATTATTAACGATGGATTCTCTACTATCTGGAAGACACCAAGCAGAAAACTATTGAAGTCATATAAAATTATTTGAATCAAACATCAACTCTGAAAAGAAATTTTGAGATACATTACATAGAACATATAAGTACTATAAAGACTCAGAAGTAGGAACTTATTTTAGAAGTAAAAACCATCAGCAACAACAAAAGAATATTAATTATATTCAAAAGAAATCTTGGAAACAAAGAAACCAGAAAAACAACCATCAAGAAAAAGAATTCTACAATACTGAAAAACCTAAAAAATATTAATGCAAACAATATAATTACCAAATAGTTGATATTAGTCAATCAAAATGTTTCAATTGCAGAAAAGTAAGCCACTTCTTTAGAGAATGTCCTACTAAAGAAACTTTCAAGAATTTTAGATCTTTCTACAACAAAGAAAAAAGAAGACATAGAAATATCAATAACCAAAACCAAAACAATAGCAAGAAAGAAAAATGGAAGAAAACTTTAACCAAAAGAAACTAGGAAGAAAATAAAGAAATAATCCACTACTACAATTTGAACATAAACCACAAACTATTTTACAATTCTAACAAAACCAGATCGTAACAGAAATTGGTCAAAAATCAAAACCCAATTTTAACAAATTTAAACACAACAACAAGGAAGACAATCACAAAACTTCATAAAACAAAAATGAATACCTTATCAAGCAAGACAATCTAAATTTAACCCAGGGCAATAGAATCCTGATAAAGAAATTATCTTTAAAAAGAATTTTGATAAAGAAGAAAAATTCATAACCAGAACACCTACTTGTACAATCTGCAAATTATTTACTCATAATACTACAGATTGCTATAAAAATGTATCACCTATGGAAACCAACAACCTTTACAAAAATAAAGAATATGAAGACTTCCAAAGTTTCCAAGAATTCCAAAAGGCAAAAAATGCTTACCAAAACAGTGTGGACAATTATAAAGAAATATCTACACTAGAATCAATTATCAACAACCTAGAAAATGTATATTTTACATAAGAGGCACACCCAGCTGATCCCAAAACAGTAAAGACTCAAAACAGCTACACCTTCCCTATTATTGAAAAAGCACTGGCAAAAAAATTCTTAGCTGAATTAGAACAACACTTCAAGTTTACACTACCTTTACTACTGGAATACATGTCTGTTAACCTCACTGACAAACCTGACCTCCCAACTGACCACATACAGATCAGCCAAATGAACTTGACAATACCAATCACTTCACCAAAAATTCTTGTTGACATGGCTAGAGAACTCCGAAAATACTATTTCTTTGCACAAATCCCACCTAGTTGGATCGATATAAAGAACAAAACAAAGGATAATGACAAATCTACAATTTTAGCAAATCTTGAAGAGTTAAAGTCCCAACTATCTCATATTAACCTCACCCTAATCCAACTAATCCCAATACAAGACAGAACAATAGCAACTGAAACACTCTAAAAAATCAAATCACACTTTAGCTTCAACACAATCCCCGAATACTTACTTCAACTTCCTGACCTACCCACACCGAAATGGCCCATTTTTGACAATTACGAACCAGTCAACCCCTACAAAGCAAGCAACAAACCTATTAAGACCTCGTTTATGACCAATCCCACCAAAACCCCTCCCAAATCTACTACTAATCAAAACATATGAACAATAACAACCCTCCCTCTAGTGATTTACAATCACTTACAGCTACCTCTATAACACTTACTACAGTCTCAAACATGCCCACCACAACCACTCTAAATATTCTAAACCACAATGTACTGGGCCTCAACCAAGCACTAAAACTACAACTTCTTCTTGAACACTGTAATTCTAATAAAATTGATATAGCCTTTCTTACTGAAACCAAACTTGCAGCTTCCTCCAACAATCCTATTGCTCTTACCAACCGCCTCTACAAGATCTATACAGCAAACTGTGACCAAGCTAATGCAAACATCCAAGAGTCTAGCAAAGGAGTCGCAATCGCCCTCAAACCTACTCTACAACCCTACATATACAATAAACTTACTTCCTGGCACTGCCCTTCTAATAGATCTACATTTACTATCTAATAATAGAACACGCCTAATTGCAGTATACCTTCTCTCACAAGTCACACCACATATTCGCTCTGCTCAACAACAAATAATCTCATGAACCCAAGACGCTCAGTCACGCAACATGAACCTAATTATCGCTGAAGACTTCAACTGCAATACTTACCAGCACAATTATCATAAACACAACCCCTTCCTCCAACATCTTAACTAGACAGGACTTCTAAGTCTACTACAACTACACCATATTACTGACCCTACCTGGAGCAGAAACAACTCCTATAGCCAAATTGACGACATATGGGTCAACCCTGAAATTGTACTGGCTTTTCACACCCCACTCTTAGCCGATGCACTCACTGTCACCAATAGTAACCACCAAATAATTACAACCTTTTGGCATACTACCCCAATCCACAAACAACTATGACAAAAAAAACAATACCGTAAAACAAATAATTATGATCGCATGACCCAAGAATTATGTGATAATTTCGCCGCCTTTATAACTACAAACTTATGAGCTACCACCCACTACCAAGAGCAGATCACAAATACCGAACAACTAAATAAGACCTTTAACAATTTTAACAACATAATCAAACAAGCTGCAGACAAATTCATTCTGCACACCTTTACTAGCTTATGTATCTTTCACGCATACTCATTTAAAGCCAGCTCACTACATTGCGCACTAAAACACATTAACCACATTCTACTAATACTTTCTTGGCTGATTCCTCTCTACCCACAATACTTGACAGTTATAGTAAACGAACTTCTCAATAAAATAAATGTACTAACTAAAATTATTAACCAAACCTTATTATCCCAAGACCTGACAACTCAAACCTTTCCAAACACCAAAAGTCAACTTATACAACTACATAAAACCCTCTACAATGCAAGAAATATTGAAAACAATAATTCAAAAAAAGAACAAATCCAAACCTTCATTGATAGACGCTACACCAACTTCCAAGAGAACACATCCAAGATAATCGATAGCATCATGCATAGAAACCATACACCCGTAACATTTTATAATATCCTAACACCCTCTTCTATCCTAACTCACCCTCAAGAAATAAAAAAAGCAACAATACAACATTTTTACAACTGGACCAAATCCAACCTCTATGACAATATACTATGGCATGAATGGGAACAATACTATGAACCAACCCCTAAAGTCACTAGAGAAACTTACTCTACACTCTTTGTCTATATAGAAATATCCGAAGTCTAAAATACTATCACTGCAACCCCAAATAACAAAGCTACTGGCCCCTCAGCAATTTTGAACGAAATGTTAAAGAAACTTCCTTTTACAGCAATTTCGACACTCACAAAAATTTTCAACGCATGTATATCACTCCAAACTATCCCCTCAGCTTGGCACAAAGGCCTTATTTGGCCTATACTGAAAAAAGGATACCACCTAGGAGACCTCTCAAAAACCTGTCCCATTACACTTATTGAACACATTCAAAAAGTCTTCACAAAAATACTTACTACACGACTCAACCTAATTCTTC